CTGAGGGGTGGAATCATCATCCATTGTCAACCGAGGGCAATATGTCTCCAGCTCAGCTTTGGGTTTGGGGTCTTCGTCAACAACTGATTGATTTGGATTTGGAACAGTTAAATTGTGATATTGTGGTAAAGTTGCAAATTCTTATTTCAGTTATCCCGAGTATACACAAGGCTGTCCAAGCAATTCTCAAAAAATAACTGTAATCTCCAATAACATTGTAATTTATCAACATGCAACAAGATGAAGAACAATAGCAACATGTTAAAAATTAACGTTCATAACTTAGATGTCGGGCTCTTTAAAACTTAACCAAAAATCTTGGCAAATATAACAGATGTATTGTACTACTGTATGGGTAGAGATCACTAGTTAGTTCTTGTCATAAAACAGATGTGTTATCAACTAATAAAGGAGTGCCTGGAATAACACCTTAACTGACTTCTGAAAAACTTTAACATTTCTATATGCTTTTGAATGAAAAAGAGAATTGGACATTAGATAGTGGGTCACTTGGGGGTATTATTCCACAAACCCCTTCATTATCTATGACTTGCTTATTTCCTGCAGCATGAAATTGAACATTATGGCATTGATCATGATGGGCCCTTGCCTAATCAAGCATGGGGTAGAGATTCATCTGACACTGGTGCAGTAGAAGTCCCAGAAGTTGACCTGTCTATTTCTTCAGAACAGCTACAGCATCACCTGATGGAGATCAACCCAATGGCTAATAGCCAAACTTTTGGAATTGACATATATTTACAAGTTGTTGACTGCTTACATAGCCTCCTAGGCGTGCCATAGCCCTCCTCTTTCCTCAAATAAAAAAATCAGGCCTAAGGTTTTTAAACCATTGTGCAGTTGGTGGAGGCAATCTTTTTCTTTTGAACTCTTTCACTCTTAATAATGGAAAAGTAAACGTTTCCCCCAAAAAATTCTTTCTGTAAAATGCTCATAATTGTTTCAATAGTAGTAGGCAAAATTTCTGCCAAAGAGATTTCTTTTGAATAGTATCAGATGGAAAAGTTAGAATGGCATATACTGTCACCATATCTCAGTCTAGGAGTGACAGGGTTAACCTTCAATCACGGCAAAGACAAACAGCACACTGCAATGACTAATACAAGTACAACCTACCAATATGAACTTTGGATACTTATTGATTAACAATCAAGTCTCAGCCCATAAAAAGTCACTGAGTAAGCTTCATTTGAATCACAGCTAACATAACAACAACAAATGTGGTCAATAAAGACTGAACAGTAAAGACACATCTTGCCTTGTTTGGAGATGTCTTACAAAGATAAACAAGACAGTTTTTGTCTGGCTTACTCTTATAATGACACAAGAGTTTCTCCTTTCATGCAGATCCAAATCCTTGACTTTCACACTGCAATGCTATTGTTAAGCTCTCCATGAATTTCTTCTCTGATGCAGGGCTGCAAATAACGGCCGGTCAACGGACAATGTCCGGCCTGATCGCGGACTTGACCGGTCAAACTCCGGTCTTGCCGGTCATTTTGACCGGTCATTTTTGGATACAAACACTTTATTTTCCATACAGTTGTCGCTTAATGCTCTATAACGCTGCAATGATTTCTTTTTTCTTTGGCGTTTTTCGCTGCTTTGCACTAAACCCTTCTAAGAAAAAGAACGCCGCAATAAATTAATTTCATGTCGTCATGTCGTAATCTAACGCAGCAAAGTGAATAACAAACTGAGTTGGAAAGTAACCCAACGTTGCAAGTCGTACTGTACTTTCGGCTTTGCTGTAATCAGCAATGTGACCTTCTTTGGGAATTCGAAGGAATTCAGGCAAATCGATCGCAATTCTCAACAGGTCGTCCTGTGTTTCTCCGAGAATAAATGTTAGCGCATCGATTAATAATAATTTCTTTTATGTCGAACATGAATCTCGTTTGCAGACTCGATTCCAGAATGGTCTGATAAAAATTGAAACTACTCAAGAGGGAAGGTCGTCGTCTATCGCGGCGCTAGATTCTCGTTCTTGTAAACAACTTTATGCAAATTTCTGTTGACATTTGAGCCCTTCGCGATAAAATGTTGCGCGATGACCCAAATTTATTAATTGACTTCTGATCATCAACACGCTGTTTGTGGAACAAACTTCTCGCCAATGCAAATCAACTTCTTTGCCGAAAATATCAGCGACGATTCTTCTTTGAAGAAGTGACTTTTGATCACGTGCCAGGCAAGGAAAAAGATCAAGTTTCACCGATGTTCATTTCGGAACATCACCGTAAAACAAGCGTGTGCAGATTTTGTAAAATAACCCAATTTTTTTTTTTTTTTTTTTTTTTCGTAATTTTTAAAGTTTGCTGAACTGTATGTGTTTTCCGTTTCCTGAACTTTGGGAGTTTGAAAAGGATTTATGCTTCACTTTTTACCTCTAGACTTCAGACACCGCCATGCAATGATACTCAAGGTAGAACGTAACTTAAAACGAGGAAACTCTACAACGTGCGAATGCATTTTTCAC